TTGCGGTCCATGAGTTGAAGCCCCACATCAGGCTCTGTACTGACAGCTCAGAGCCTGGAGCCTGTTTCAGCTTCTGTGTCTCCCTCCCTCTCTCTGCCCCTCCCCTGCTCACACTCTCTCTGTCTTTGAGAAATGAATAAACCTTAAAAAAAAAAAATTAAAAAAATATATGGGAGAGGAAGCACTACATTTAGACAGTCCACTCCATCTGAAATTTTAATAGTCCTTCCTAAAAAAAAAAAAAAAAAAAAAGGCAACTCCCTACAGGAGCTATGGCACTGGTCCTGTCTCTCAGAAAAGTTCCTTTTTAAATAATTTGAGGTCAAACAAAATAAACTCCTCCTCTCTGTGACCAATCAGCCTTCAATTGTTTAAGACAGCAAACATATAGTCTCAGGATTTTCTCTTTGATGTTTACTCTACATTAAAGATTATAAAGATTTTCAAGTAAAATATTGCTCCTGATCTTAAGAAAAATCCATTATACAGGGAATAATGAATCTTTTTATAAAGAAAATTATAACTGGTACCGGGACAACTTCAGTAAATCTAGTAATTATGAAATTAATATTAAATGTTAGAATATCAAAATAGCAAGATAATTATTTCGAGTACATATGAAACCAACCTTACAACCTTACTCTGATATTTATCATAATTGATTTTGCATCAGTTTAGATATCAGCTCATTTTCTCAGTCCTTGTATCTACTCCCTCACCAGGGACTAGGCCTGTCACACTGAAGTTGGAATCATATAAAGTCTTGAGCCCAAGAAGCAACCTTAGTACCCAAGGGACATTCTTTTTATTTGTGCCTCTCATCTGTCCTTCAATTTGACTTTTACTCATTCACTTAAAAAATCATTATAAAACCCACCATGTTGTAGGCCTGTGCCAGGCACTGGAGATATAATGGAAAAACAAAAAGACAAAAAAACACACCTATGACTTCATAGAGGACAGTCTGTTAGGAGAAATGTCCACTGAACAAATAATGTCATTAAAAAATTATAATTATCAATTATTATTAACGCTATGAAAGAAAAACATATGACTCAATGAATGTATAACAAAGAGACCTGCCACCTCTGGAGCCTTAGAAAAAATTTGCCTGATAAAGTGAAATTTGACTCAAGACCAGAAATATGACGATAAGGAGACTTCAATAGTGCAAAGGAAACTACTTTTTCAATTCCAGACATATTGGTTTCACCTTTCCTGAACTTTTGTTTCCACCTTTGTTATCTCTTGGTATTTTTTTCCTAAATTTTATTGTATCTAGCTAGCTACCAGCTCTGACCCTTACTATCCCCCCTAATAATAACAGCTAATATTTATTGAGTTCATACTACTTGGAAGATATCATTATAAGCAATTTACATATGTGAACTCACCTAATCCTTACAATGACCAGGTGGTACGTCATATTTCCCCATTTTACAGATGAAGAATCTGAGGCACAGTCATGATAAGCTACTTGCCCAAAATTACACAGCTACTGGTACTAGTCCTTGCATGTCCATCACTTGCCTCATAACCTATCACTCTCACAGAAACCTCAAGGCACCAAACTAAACTGGCACTACTACTAGGAAAAAAATAAATATCAAGTCTCCTATATCCTCCAAATTGCTACCATCTTCAACTAGGCAGGGTCATGCTTTTTCTCCACTTTTCAGAAATTAGGAATGAAAAACTGACCACAGTAGCCAACACTAAACCATCTCCAGAAGCAAGAAAAAATGTTTACAATAATATATTCTTACAAAAAGTTATTCACCCAGAATATGAAATAATGGAAACTTGCCAAGGAGAAAGAATTATAATTTATTCAATCCCTTCTATACCTCCCAAAGGAAAGGAAGAACTTTTTTTTTCTTTTAATCCAAATTTATAAATATTTTGCATGTATTTGCAATAGTAATATAAATTAGTAACAGTAAATTGGTTATGATATAGAAGAAATTCCCCTAAATTAGCTTGAAGTAAGCAACTTTTAAATGTTAAAGAAAAAAAAATTACTATTAAATGAACAAGGCCTCATTGAAAACTATATTTAGATATTTTTAAGGTTCCTGTTATGATCAAAACTTTCATTTGTTAATTCACCATTGAAGGTGATGTGAAAAACAGTAATTATGTGGGTGATTGATACAAGTGAGTGTATGACTCATAGTTTGCAAAAGAAAATGATTTGGGGGAAAAGGCTCAGGAAGAAAGAAGCAAATAATGGATTCTGGAAGAAATGAAGACCTTTCCTGTCCAAGAACTGTCACCAGTTCTTTATTACTTGAAGATTAAGGGAATAGTGAATAAAGCTGTCTGCCAGACAGCAGAAAAGGTAAGAAATAACGTTGTCTCTAAATGTACCTCACATGAAAATTTTCAAATATAACATTTATAAAATTAAACTTTCTATAAAAAGTTACCAGAAAACCCAACTCAAATCAGAACAATGGAAATGTCAAAATAAACCAACATTACATTTGTCAGGAACCTGAACAAATGAAACAGCAAGATAGGTCAAGTTGTAAAATTGTCTCATTTTATTCCACTTGGTTTTAGAACAAAGGCAGATCCAATACTGATTTAGTAGGAGACTTTGTGGGGTTTATTTTTGTTTGGCTATTTTTCTACTTTAGTTATTACAAAATAAATATTTAGTTTTTGTTACTAAGTGTCAGCAAATTTATACAACGAGCTTTAGTTTCTGGTTCCAGAGGTCAAATTCAAGCCACTAAATTCAGTTCCACTTTTTTACTAACTGCCCCTTCCCTCTCCTATAGATCTCAAATAGATCATATATATTTACATGTACTTTTTCTTAGACTCACATTAAGGTATGGGTATTAATTGCTATCCTTGCATTATGAATCTTTACAGAAAATGAAGAGAATTTCATTTTAAGTCGTATTTAACAGGAAGTTTGATCCAATTTTTTAATTTATATTTTCATGTATACTTTAGAGTCCCTACTATATGACAGCATTGACCTAGATGCTTTGTACACATAATCTCATCTAAGAATACTGGATTTACCTTGTTATATATATGCTGCCTAAGGATAAGATAAATGAATATTTTTGTGGTAAAGCAACCTAAGTCATATTAATGATGGCTTTCACATGAGCAACATCCACCCATTCCAGCATACCTTATGTGTATAGCTTAGAACTTAGTTCATGAAAACTATCTGATGTAACTTGAGCATGTCTCAAAAAAAATAAATAAATAAAAAATAAAAAGAGCTGTGTGTGTGAATGTATGTACACACTTGTGTGTTAGATGACGTATTCAAACCTAGGAAGTCCAATTATAGAATCTTTGCTCTTAACCATTAAGCCACTATATCCTGGAAAAGAACCAAGGTGTGACTTTTAAACGTACATAACTGATTTAGGGAATAGTAACTTCTAAAATAAGAGATCATATTTCTGAAGTCAGTAAGCTAAGTATCAGCATTAGGTTATAAGAACACATGTGATGAAAATTTACTATGACAAAAGGTTTTTTTTTTTTTCTCTCTTGTGAATGAGCTTAATTTCCAGAAATTCTAGCTTTATCATATTGGATATTATATTACCTAACATTTTTGTGATCTCTTTATAGAGTTTAAAGCATTTTTGTATCTAAAACCTTATATAATCCTGCCAGCAACACTATAAATAAGTCAAGTATGATGGTTAATTTTATGTCAACTTTGCTGGGCCATAATACCCAGACATTTGGCCAAACATTATTATTCAGGATGTTTCTGTCAAGGTTTTTTTGGGGGGAGTGAGATTAAATTTTAAATTACTGGACTGAGTAAAGCAGATTACTCTCCATAATGTGGGTGGTCCCATCCAATTAGTGAAAAGCCTTAATAGAACAAAGACTGACATCGTGAAAACAAGAAGAATTCTGCTAGGAAATTGCAGACTCAATTTGGACTCAGATTTCTTACTTGGGTCTCCAGCCTGTCAGCCTACTGTACACATTTTGGACTTACCAGTCCTCTTTAACTGAGGATTGCTATTCCTCAGATAAATACCTCAGATTCAATTCCTCAAAATCAATCATTCAATCTCTTTTCCACCTCACGCATGTGTGCACACACATATGTACTCACATACATGCACATGTACATACACATATACATGCATCCACACAAACACACACATCCTGTTGGTCTTATTTCTCTGGAGAACTCTAAATCAAAAAGCAGGGTAGTTGAAAAGTCTAACAAAACAAGAAAACAGGAATTCATATCCTTATCTTTGTCTATAGTCATTCTTAAAAAGATACTAAAATTCTCAAGCTATGCTAGAATTGTTTTCATACCCAAACCACTCAGCCAATGTAATGTTCTTTTTCTTTTAAAACAGTTACTTGACAAAACTAATCAACTCCGTAAAACAGTATGGCAGATCCTCAATGAGTTAAGCGTAGAATATCATATGACCCATCAATTCCACTCCTAGGTATATACCTGAGTGAAAACATATGTCCCTACAAAAACTTGTACATGAATGTTCATAACAGCATTATTCACAGTAGCCAAAAAGTGGACACACAAATGCCATCAATTAGTGAATGGATAAAAAGGATGTGGTATATCCATAAATGCAATGTTTTCAGGGAAAAAAGAAATGAAGTACAGGCACATGCTATAACATGGATGAATCTTGAAAACATGCTAAATAATACAAAGCAAATGCAAAGGGCCACATATAATATGAATCCATTTATATAAGATTTCCAGATTAGGCAACTCCATACAGACAATAATAGATTAGTAGTTGTCAGGAGCAAAAGGAAGGGGGTCAATGCGGAGTGAATGCTAATGGATATGGGATTCCCTATTGAAGTGATGAAAATGTTCCTGAATTAGATAGTGATGATTGTACAACCTTGTGTATATACTAAAATCCACTGAATAATATGCTTTAAAATAGTGAATATTAAGTGAATATCTCAATTTTCAAAGTGTTAAAAATTAAAAAAACTAATCAACTTACCTGGCCTTTTTGTGGTGCCAAACAACGAACAACTTCATCCACCATTACTGGGATATGTAATTTAGTCATAGCTTCAAAATCTCCATTTTGAGATCTATGTAACTCCTGAGCTCCAGTTTGATCTGTTTGCTCCTCGGCTTCATATTCATTACATCTTTCTGTTGTAGCATGTATTTTTTTTGGCCAGATACCTAAATTAAATATGCCAGATTCCAACCAGCATGAATGAAATTCTTTATAGATTTTACAAAAATATGGGTATCGAAGCATCTTGTAGGTCAACCAATCTAGAAAAAATTAAAAATATCATGATTGTTGGATTTTTAAAATATGTAATTTGTATAACTTTTTAAAATGGCCTGGTAAACTATTAAGACCATTAACATGTTAATTATTAGGAATGTAAAAACTGCTTATTAAGTCATCATTTTTCTGAAATATACTTTTTTTTAATGTTTATTTATTTTTGAGAGAGAGAGAGAGAGACAGAGCACAAGTGATGCAGGGGTAGAGAGAGGGGGAGACACAGAATCCAAAGCAGGCTCCAGGCTCTGAGCTGTCAGCACAGAGCCTGACATGGGGCTCAAACTCATGAACCAGAAGATCATGACCTGAGCCTAAGTTGGGCACTTTAACTGACTGAGCCACCTAGGCACCACAGAACTATACTTTTCTAATTTTAATTAAGTCTAAAGAACGGATTCAGTGCATTAGAAATGTTTATTTGAAAAAACTATCTGGATGATTGAAGGGATTATAAATATTATCCTATTTTAGGTTCAGGTAGTCTTTCATTTCAAGCTCTTCTATTTGTTTTTTCTCATAATGCTAAATCTTCATCTTTAATTTAACTTTGAGGAACTGTCCCTGGAAAAAACTACATATGTTTATCTAAAAAGAAAGAAACGTAAAACTGTGAAACTCTTGCAGACTTGTTATGAATATGCTCTGACAAGATTGTCTCACGATGGCCTGTATCAGCAAAACATGTTTCAATTTAAATTATAACTTTACAGGGGCACCTGGGTGGCTCAGTCAGTTAAGCACCTGACTCTTGATTTCAGCTCAGGTCATGATCTCACAATTGTGAGCCCTGAGCCCTGCACAGACAGCGCAGAGCCCGCTTGGGATTCTCTCCCTCCCTTTCCCTCTGCCCCTACCCTGCTTGCTTGCTCTGTGTTTCTCAAAAATAAACAAATAAACACTTAAAAAAAAAAAAAAGCTTCGGAAATCTATAAAAATAAATAAATAAATTTTAACCTTATAAACACTCAACTGAGCCTACTTTGGCATTTCGTATTCACCTTTGTTTTAACTGTCTGTCCTTGCCCCCAAAAAACGAGAAAATAAATATTAAGTTCCTTAACTTTCTCACACTCATTCCTTTTTATTCTGCAATCTGTAACTCTTAAATGCAGAGGGAAAAAGTATGTAAATATATTAACAGAAAACGTTTTAAAAACATTATGCTTTTTATACAGGTTGTAAGCAATGTTTTTAATACTATTATAGTAAATGCAGAGTTAACACTGTTTTTTAGTCCTCATAGATTAGGAGTTATTTAAAAATAAGATAACACCTTTTTTATCTACAAAAGCAGATGCACACTCAGTGCTTAGTGTTTTCTGAAAAAAAAAAAAAGTGAATGGATGGATAATTCTACACAATTAATATTTTTAACAAAACTTGCTTTAGGAAATTTTGCCTGCCTGACAGACCCTACCAAAAACCACATTCTCAAAATACTTCGACACATAAATATCCACCTCCAAAAAAGAAAAAGAAACATAAATATCTTGTTTAAATATGCCTTCCCTTCCTTTTGCAATAGAAAGTGAAAAATGATGTTGAAAAGTTGACCACACGTAATGACTAGAAAAGAAATACATTTATATTATATAAATATAGTATCAACAAGATGTTACCTTAAAAATACGCCAACTTTACCTAAGGCATAATCTACAGAATTTTGTGGCAAACATGACACAGGAAAAATATGGGGGGGGGGGGGGGGTTAAATGTTTTAAGTAAAGTTTTCAATGTTCACCAGTTTCAAATTAGTCAAATTATTAATTATGCCTCATTTGTTTCAGAAAAGTTATACAGGGGCACCTGGGTGACTCGGTTTAGCATCCAACTATGGCTCAAGTGGATGGTGGGTTGTGTCCCAGGTAGGGCTTTGTGCTGACAGTGTGGGGTCTGCTTCAGAGTTCCTGTTTCCCTCTCTCTCTGCCCCTCCCCCACGCATGTGCACCGCAAGGGTTCTCTCTCTCAAAAATAAACATTAAAAAAAAAAAAAAACTTTAAAAAAATAAAAAAAGAAAGCTTATACAAAGTAAACCCTACTACCCTCAAAACCTAGTGTTTCTAACATTTTTCAAAATAGAGGCTAACATTTATTAAGCACTTACTAAATACCACTAAACTCATTCTATCCTTACAACTCTTAGAGATAGACAGTATAATTATTTCTATTTTACAGATGAGAAAAACAGAGAAGTAATTTGCCAAAAGGTCACATACCTAGAAAGCCATAAAGCTAGAACTGTATCCCAAGCCTTTAATCTTAGCTTCTATTTTACAAACATAGCCCACTAGCTCTATTTAATGCACCCATGTAATTGCATGGCACTTTAATTATACTGACTGTATATTTGTTGGATCTCATGGATTACTTTTTCTGTAAAGAGCCAATATCCCATTGCTTAATCCTATATCCATATTTTTATATTTAAATATATACCTAGATAAATGTATGATATATATTTAAATAGACAGATATACATACATCTATACATCTCTATAATATTCCAGTACAGGAATCAGAACCGCATAGGAAAAGCAAGTAGAATAGAAAAAAAAAAGCTTCCTTTGCCAACCGTTAATTTTCTTTTTGCATTCAATTTATATGTATTTACTCAACTATGTTTCAAGTACAAAGCCTGAAGATTTTATTATGCAGCAATTGGCTACTAACGTGGGTTAACATGGAGAAAGGACCTCATATAATCTTCCTCTTTGGTGGTTTCCTTGACTATCTCCCAAGAATAGAAGGGGACAAGCTCTAAAGGAGGATGTTCCTTTCCTTTCCGCAGCCCAGTGTCCTACCAGATAACCCAGAGCGCTCATGCAGTTGGCTATGAACCAAACACCCTACAGGATTTAAGATCCTTTAAAAGTTTCCCTCTGGTCACAGGAAGGAAGCGGAGAGACGGGAAACCGGCCGCTCGAGCCAACACTGGTTTCCTAGGTAAGTCTTCTAGCTTTGCCAGCAAAGTTCAGTCTCAGCTGTTGAAAGCAGGGAATTGGCCAGGTTACTCTTTAATTGTGGGTACAGAAGTGATACCTTTGAAAACTACTTCCTCAACGGTGCCGTTACCATCTTAGCACTCAGCTTTCCCAGTGGAGAAAAACGTTCGAAAACTTAATTCCTAAGGCCAAAAACCCAGCCTGGAGGCTGGCAGCCGAATGGAGACAAAATGAAAGAGGTTCTAAAGTTCAGGAAGAATGCATCCTTTTGCCTAAGAATTATACTCGGAGGAGGGAAAACTGTTCACAAACTTCTGAACTCAGGATGAGTGAGTGTTTAGGAGGGAAAGCGGGAGCAGGGGCGTGTTTCCTTTTGTCCTGGGCGAATTCAGCGACCTCTGGAAGTTCCCCCAAAGGCTTGGGGTGAGCTCCAAGAGAGCTCCCGGGACTCGGGCACCTTCTCCTCACCTGAGGCACGAAGAATTCACTGTTGGCTTCTAACTCGGGCCAGCGACGACCACTACTATGGTGCCAGAGAACACGAGTTGGCGCACGTCTAGGTCCCAGCCTTGGGGGAAACTTGCAAGGACGGACAGATCGGATCCACGTCCGCCCCAGCAACCGAAAACCGTCCGCCTTTCGTTCCGCTCTTTTCAGGCCCCAGCTGACAAAGGGTCCTGCAGGCGCGAGGGGGTTCAAATAGCGTTCCTGAAGAGGGGGCGGAAATAAGAACCTACCACTGCCAGGTTTAAATTTACTTTTACTTTTTTTTTTTTTTTAATGTCTGAATCAACTTTAAACCTAACTCCATTTTATTCTTAACTCCACTCTATTCCGTTTACTATGAGCCTCTGTTAAATTTCCGTGTTCTATTGTAACACATTATACTCCCAATTTCTAACAAAAGGTGGGAATTTCTGTCTCCTTTAGTCCTATGTTTTTATGGTTTCGGTTCTTTTTCCTTCATTTCGTTACAAAATACACTAGTCTCATACTTTGTTTTATTTCTTGATGTCTTGCCAAACAGAAGCCAACTGGCAGAGTGATGGCATTTATTGTAACATTAAAGTTTCTTTGCTTTGATTACACAATACTTTAAGAATATAGACCTCATCATCTAAATGTGCTAAATGGCAACTGTAAGGCAGAATTTAAAGTTAAATGTAAAATAAGCACTTAGATTAGGTGTGGAAACACCTGTTAGCAAGGCTTATAATGTGGTGTCGAAATAAATGAAATCTAAAACACTTTTTATTCACCAATAGTGAATGCAATTTTACAAGAAATTGGTTTTAAAATACCTATTTTCAGAATAGATTAAGTATCTTAAGATCACTTAACCTAGAAATTATTTCTGAGACAAATGCCTCATTTCTGAATTGACTGGTTTGTACAGTTAAATTTCCTTTAGGGATCTTCTGAAAACTTGTTTTTGTTTTTGTTTTTTAAGTAAAATAAATTGTGCCTGTATCTCATGGGCTATTTTGAGAGTGAAATAAAATAACATATATAGAGTTAACAAAATGCCTGGGACATCAAGTATACATCAAGTACTATAGAGTGAGTACATATTTGAAATAAAATAAAAAGACTTCTCAATTTTATTACCAAACCCAGCACCACACAAGTAACTATTGTGTTAGCTAACATATATGTAATATAGCCAGCAATTAATATCTTTATTGATGCACTATCCAGAGTTCAGAAACAATCATATAACATGCATCGTATACAATACACTGTGCTTCTGATTTTCTTCAAAAGGAAATAAGTGTCCATAATGTAGAAGTTTTCATAATTGTTTCACTTATAATATTCTGCAATGTGTTGTGCCATCCTATTTATTATGGTGATAAGCTCCATATAAGAATATAAGCTCCAAGAAGGCAGGGAATTTTTATTTATGCTATTATGTCCCTGAAGTCTACAATCAGTAATTGCAGAATGGATACAATAATGTTAATATAAAGAATAACAATGACATTCAGATCATACTATTAAAAACATCCTGACAAATAAAATGGACTTATCTTAGCAAACATACTTCCCTTTTTTTCTGGTATTTTTTTTTCTTTTTAAACCGTACATTTTGAAATAATATCTACAAGCTAGGACTTTAAAAAACACTGCATCCAAAAATGAACTAAGCCAATAAATTTAAATGAATTTATTTTGTAAAGTCCTCATCCGAAAGGAATGTCAAAAACACCAAGTAGTTTCAGTCAGCAATAAAGGGAGTAGGCCTGGGAGTCCTGAGAAATAAAGCCTAGGACCTCAAACCTAAAGCTCTGGACTTTCAATTAATTGAGGCGAATTGACCCCAGTTCGGTTTAAGTGAAAGTGGCTGAAAGGAACAGGTCCCTACACCTTCCAGAGCATGGGACCTGTGCCTTGGAGGCCTCACTACTCAATAGAGAAAAAAAGATAACGTTCACAATCCATTAACCCACACCCAACAGGCTCCGCCTCTCCCCCAGCAGACTGCACAAGCCAACCCCTGCCCGCTCCCGTCTCACTCACACCCTGAACCCAAGGACCGGGCCCTTCGCCCGCGGCTCTTGAAGTGGTCTGAGGATCCCAGGTGGCTACCTCCCACCTGCAGCTGCGGTCTAGCCCCGCCCACCTCGGCCAACGCCTCCGGAAACAGCCGTGCCCGTTGCCCTGGCGACGCGCAGCAAGGCCGGTTCCACAGAGCCGCGCGGCTGAGACTACTGGCGCCAAGCTACCACGCGCCACGGCAACGTCCGACGTGATTGCGTCACGAAGTCGGCAGCCAATGAAACGAGGTGCTGGAAAAGCTGGATTGGGTTTGAATCTTGTTGCCGAGTTTGAATCGCGGTGAGGCGGACATCGAAGTGAAGTGTCGCGGTAACCTTTGGTGGACTAGAGGTGAGTGAGAGGCACGTGAGGAGAAACTTCTCGTCTCGGGAACGCTTCTTTTGATGGCCTGTCTCGCTGGAAACGGAAGGCTCCTGCGGCCGCCTGAGGAGAAGACGGGATGGGCTTGTTGACAAACGCCGAAGGATTGAGTGGGGGGTGGGGGGGGCGGGGGGGGGGGGGGTCGGGGGCGGGTAGTTAGCGTCCCCGGGGAGAAAGTGAAAGGAAGAGGAACTCGAGTCCCAGCTAGAGCAGGGCTCTACCTGATCGGGAGCCCTTCACTGCTCCACAGGAAGGGCAGAAATCTCCTGCCTTAAATTCTGAGAAAGTCGGAAGTTTTAAAGGGCATCCTGGCTCTTTCCCTAGACTGGCAGAGCACTTTAATTGCCTTGCACCTTACAGTGTAAAGTTCGTTCCGGACTCCAAATTCAGAATGTTTTGTTTAAGATACAGTTGTAAATGTAACTCTGAGCTTAATTATGTAATAAGGATTTTTGGTTTTCCAACTTACAAACTTTTTGTCCTGCAAGGTCCTGGTGTTAACTTGGCAAAGGTCAGTCGGGAACCTCCTCTGAGTCTCAGTTGTAGCGTCAAGATAAGACCTGCCAGCACTGTGTAACGGGATTGCCAAGAATCAGATGAGGTATGGAAGCGATACCACTTGGCAAAGTGCTTTGCAAATGAATAAGAACTCCTTTTACCCTCTGTTCTTAGTTTATGCAAGACTTTTAGCAGCTTACTAGGCATTCAGTTACAGAGAGATCAAGGCTAACTGCTGTTTATGAAAAGAGTTTATTTGTCCAGAATTGAATAATTTTGTATAATATATACTTTAGGTTATTTACTATGAACTAAGGAGTAGACTGTGTTAAGCATTCTATAGGGTTTAGTTGGTAGTGTTATTCCACTACATTCAGGCCCTCTGGGAAGTATTTATGAACTTTGGTGCTAGAGAATATCGCATCCAAAGACTAGATAGTGCTTGTTAATAAGTTTCTGTTACATTGTAAGAATTGACTTTTTCAGTAAACAAAGATTATCTGCCTTTAACGGTAGTAATTAATCTCTTCTGTTACTGAGCAAGTATATAGAAGTACATAAAATTTTCACTTTAAAAGTGCATCTTGTCAATATCCATTGATAGCCTGAATCAATTAAAGTACACAATAAAGTCACTTTTATGGTAAGTCCATGAAATCTAGGAGGAAAAAATAGCCCAGATATTAGTGCCACCCTTAAACTCCATTTGAAATTTTTGTTCCTCCCTGATGTTTTTAAGTTAGTAGAAGCACTGGCTGTAACACTAAAGTTATTTCCAGAGAGGTGTAAGCTGCATAGAGACTATAAATGATATTGTGGAGGATAGTTCCTGATCCTAAAAAATGTTTGTTGAACCTGAATCTAATTCAGATTTGAGTTTGAATATAAGAAATCATTTATAACTGTATAACTCCACACTCAAGATAATTTGAGCAACATTTCTGTTCCTTTGTTTGAAAATGTTCTGTTGTTATTCCAGTAGAGTGTAGTCATTAGGGACATGGGCTTTGGATTTAGACATGAGTCTACATTCTGGCTTCTCATTTACTAGCTATGTCATCTTGGAAAAATTACTTGTCCTAAATTAAGTCTCTGTTTTTGTAAAATGGAGACTATTGTAGAGTATGCCTTATATGATTATTTTAAGGATTGAATAAGATGATGAATATTAAATGTTTACCATACCATATGTATGTCTGACATACATAACATGCTCAAATGATAATCATTGTTCATTAATAGTAGTTATCACTTTACTGATCTAATTTAAGAGTTCTCAATAGTATATTTGCTGAGAATAGATGCTGTTGGATATCCCACAAGCAGAAAGAAATCATACATTTTTGGTTTTATTTCAGTATTCATTCAAGAGCTCCTACGCTAGGCCCTGAGGTTTCTATCAAAAATAGGCAAATATATATTTTTATTCTCTCTAAGAAAATTTCTAGAGATTAAATATTTACATCTGAAAGAGTAGTGATTTAAATACTTTGACTTCATATCCAGTTAGTCTGAGTTCAAATCTCATGTCTTGTGCTTCCAAGTTAACTTTAGCCAGTTAACTTAATCTCTCTATATTATATTTTTCCTATGATAATAATTCCTATATTATAAGATTGTTATGGGGATTAAATGAGAAGTATGTAAGTTGCTTAACAATTTCTATGTGTATACTAAGAGCTCAATAGAAAATATTCCATAAATACAATGTTATTAAATGGAAGATTGTGCTTAAGGTAAATTTTAATAGTTTCTCCTTTGGTTTGTTTTTTGAAATAAAAATAACTAGTCTTGTTTAAAATCCCAATTCTACAAAAGAATATACAGTAGAAAGTAAGTCTGCCTGTCACCCAGACCTTCATATTTCCCCACCATGGGGCAACTGGTGTTACCAATTCCTTGTGTTGTCTTCCTGAGACAGCCCATGCATATACAAATATGTATGTTTTTAAAAATTCAAATGGTTACATGCCAAGTCTGCTATTCTGCACTTATTTTTTTGCACATATATTTTGAAAAGCTGCATTAGTTCATTCATTCATCTATTGAACAAGTGTGTTTTGAGTCGTAAATATTGAACAAGCCCTGTTCAAGTTTCTAGGGTACAAATGAAGCCCATAGTCTCATAGTGCGTATATTCTAAAGAGGAAACAAGCAGTAAATATGTAACCAAATAATATTTTCCAGTTAATCTAGATGCTAAGAAGAAAAATAAAGCCCTTAAGAGATTAAAGAGGAAAAGGCGAGGTGACACTATTTTGAATGGAATCTTTAGGGAAAGCCTCTGTGTAGTGCTATTTGAACAGAGACCAGAATAATGAACTGAGAGATTAAGATTTGCAAGTGTCTGAAGGTAGAGGCTTCCAGGAAAAGAAGAGAAAGAGCAAGGTTATGAGGTTAGAATAAGACTGAGTATTTTAGGAACATTTAGGACAGTGTGACTGGAGCAGAGTAATCAAGGAGGAGGATAACATTTAAAGAAGGGGTTGAAGAGGTAGACAGGGCCAGATATAGAACCTACAAGACATGCTAAGGAGTTTACATTTTATTCTGATGCTGGGAAGTCATTGGAGAGTTTGGAGCTGGGGAATGACATGAGATACATAACATGATCTGATTGCTCTTGAAGAAGACATCAGTGCATGCAATCAATGAATTAAATAAAATTTATTATTTACTTGCATATAACTGGGGGTGAGTCTAACTTATTTGGTTTATAATTTTTTCTTGGGTGAACAGGAGTGGCTTGTAAGTTAAGAATTTGCCTCTTCAACTTGGTTTATATTATCTTGCAGCTGGTGTAGAGAATTAGATTTTAACACCTCTTCATTAAATGTAGCAGAGGAATGAGCTTTTTTTATATAAGTGAATGTCCCAGAAAATTGAATGTTACCCTTGTTAAGTATAACATGGCATGGTGTCTTAACCACCCTCAATAATTCATATAAAAGATGATCTTCCCATTTTCCTAATTTTGTAAACAAGAAACTGGGTACAGTATGTAAATTTTTTTTTTTGATGCCTCAGAATCCTCATTGTAACTGCCTATTACTGCCAGTCATACTTACTATAATATGTTGATTCTTTCAGAGAAATATATTGTATGTTTGCCTCTATTCTAAATGAGTGAGTTACTCTCTTGGATTCTGTGTCTGCTTTTTATAATTTATTAATTTACTCATTTATCAAATATTTGAGAACATGCTATTGACTAGGCTCACTACAAGAGATTAGGGATATAATGGTAAAAACATACAGTCCCATTAGCTATTATTTCTTGTCACTTTCTTATACCCTTTTCCAATCACATGTAATAATAAAATATTAGAGCTAGAAAAGGACTTTATCCTTTCACCAATCCTATCACTTTATAGATTAGCAACTGAAGCCTCTTCATTATTCTCATTTATATTCTACTTTCTCAAGACTAAACAAATACCTTTTTATTATAATGAACAGTGGTGTTGGAAGTATTTATCTTTAATGTTTTAGTCCCATCAATGAAATTCTAGCAGCTTACTCTTGGTTCTATTAAACAAATATAATTAGGAGTAGATATGACAGAATTAATCAGAAATTGTGATTCTATCTTCTGAACAGTCATCTGAAAAGAATGTTTGAATCAACACATTATTACACAGATAGCAATATCTAGGCTTTTCTTTTGTTGCTTCTTGGTCAACATGGTCAAAGAATTTGCTTTCTGTATGCCTTTATTCAGAATCAACTAGATGCCCATCTCTTTTAGTTGGCCATGTCAGGAAAGAAAACTGGCATCATGCATTAATGTAGGAAAAACTTCATTTTTTAAGTTTATGTATTTATTTTGAGAGAGAAAGAGAGCAAGTGCACACGTGTGTGTCCTTGAGTGGGGGAGGGGCAGAGAGAGAAGGAAAGAGAATCCCAAGCAGGCTCCAAGCCATACACAGAGCGCAACGCAGGGGTCAGTCTCTTGAACTGTGAGATCATGACCTGAGCTGAAACCAAGAGTTGGATGCTTAACCACCTGAGCTACCCAGGCTTCCCCAAGACATCAGTGTATTTGAACATAGACTAATTGTTTACATTTTGGTGATTCTGTTGACCTTGGGTGTTTTTATTAAGAAAATTATAGTCACTCCTTTGTTTTGAAAAATTGGAGAAATGTGATATTTTAGAAGTTAAGATCAATGTCTTTCTTAAAATCTATAACAAGTT